GAAGTACCAGTTTAATTTTGATGGAAAAATGAGTAAATGTGACTTTCTTTGTTCAATTGTTCCTGTTTTATACATGGTGAAATGAAAGGGAGAGTAATAGCTTGGAGAATATGTTAGCACAATTGTCCAAACACATGTTTTTGTTTAGCTCTGTATGTGTGTAATGGTGCTGAAATGACTTTCTATGTTTCTCCCTGAAAAAAAAAACCATTAACTTTTCAGTCTCAGCCCAAAATATGATAAAGAAATGAGGTTATGGGTTAGTTTTTACTGTCGAACTACCCTCCGTAACTTAAAGAAAACACTATCTTTTCTCCGCATCTTAAACTTTTACTTCACAACAGAGTCTTTCATCTGGGCTCTATGAATGTGGAACAATACAATAACATTTAAAATGTACTTTTGAATCCTGAAGTATTTTGAAAAGCAAGTAGCCGAGTCCAGCACTTTAACTCAGGTAAAACTCTGACTGAACACTTTCACTTGTATCGGAGTAATATTTGACCAGGAGGATCAATGATCTGACTCAAGTACTGCAGCTGTGTACTTTGTCCAACTCTATAAACAACTTCATTCAGTAATTCATTATTTCCTCATAAGTTCTTGAACGTTTCATGAGAACAACAGTGTAGTTTGGTTCTAGAGTCAACAGTTTAATGAAGCGGTAGATTCATGTTGCAGTCGGACTAAATGTCCAGGAGGGGGGGGGGGGGGCGGGCCAGAGCGGCGGGCCGGAGAGCCGTCGTTAGGGGGGGAGGAGTGACGTCAGCGGAAAGGGCGGGAGCCTCTATAGATACAATATCTAACTTTAATTTTAAAATAGTTCAGTTTGACGGTTGAAGACTTCTTATATCCACCTGCTGAAAGTTCCTCTGAAATGAGATATATTAATATATTTATAGATTGTGGTGAATTGATACGTGATAACAAACCTCATCTTGTAACATTTCTTTCATTTATATTGAAAAGTGAATAAAATATGATTTTCATGTTGTGTGTCATTTTCTTTAACTGATGATAAAATGTTTGTGATGCAGGTTGGTTTTCTTTATGGTTGATGGTGGAGGACGTCACCTGACCACTGCGGCTGCACATGGAGGAGTCCAGGAACAACTCCATGGATTTGGACGCACCAGCTTCTCACCTCAGATTCCAGGTAAGTTCTAACACAACAGAAACACCTGGTGCCCTTAATGAACTAAAAAAAACTCTGTCGACTATTTAAAAAGAATAACTTATCTGAACTAAACTGAAACTTCCCTCAAGGAAAGATACAACTCTACAACCGAAGAGGAAATAAGGACTAAAGAAAGTTATAGAGTGAACGCAGAAATCCAAACACCTGGGTACCAAAGTGTAATTATTTAGTTTCTTTATTTTTGATGTGTGAATCAAACAGAGCTCTAAACAAAGGGACATGTTGAGTTAATTAGTTTTATTTTGAAGGCCTTTCTTTTTTGTTAAGCTTATACTCACATGAGTGTTGTCTTTTCTTTATTCTGTGAGTAACTTGAGTTAAATCTCTGAATGCTTCTTCCACTGAGTGACGTTAACACACAGAGTTTAATGCTGTGATCATAGGCTGATACACAAGCTGGATTTCTGACCTTCAGCCTATCAGAAGGTCCCACATGCAGAGAGGGAATCCCTGCTAGCGACCACTGTTTCCTCACAGATCACTTTCTCTGCTGACAACTCTTCTCTAACAGGTAGTGTCAGAAATATTCTCCTTAACGTCCTCAGAAGTGACGCCGCCCTGATCACATTTAACCTTTGCTGCAGTGTGACAGACAGACTGGTTCACTCTGACACTTGAAAACCAGCTGACACTGTCTCCTGCTGCACAGTTCCAACTAAAGTACACTAAGATTAATAACATCTAAGACATAAAAAGCAGGTTAAAGTGATGGTGGAGAAATAATCTCTGTCCATATATAAAGTGGAAATTCATCAGCAGTGTGTAAAACTGAGCAGAGCTTTACTGACCTCTGCAGGACAGGTACTGTCATTACAGCAGCAAAGAACAGGATGGAGAGTTTCTCTAAACCTTCCACACAGACTGAAGAGTTTAAAGTTCTGTAAATGAGATTTTAAACAGTAATGTAGCAGCAAACAGTGTATTTCTATGTAAAGATACAGTGGAGTGATGGTGTAGAGAACAAAGTCACACGCAGTAGCAGTGTTCAGGTGAAAGTGACAGTGTTCAGGTGAAAGTGACAGTGTTCAGGTGAAAGTGACAGTGTTCAGGTGAAAGTGACAGTGTTCAGGTGAAAGTGACAGTGTTCAGGTGAAAGTGACAGTGTTCAGGTGAAAGTGACAGTGTTCAGGTGAAAGTGACAGTGTTCAGGTGAAAGTGACAGTGTTCAGGTGAGAGCGACCTTCCAGAATTTACCCCACTGAAAAAAAACATGTCACGTCGACACCATAAACACAGGAAGTCCCAGTTTTTAACTGAGAATTTAAAACAGACGTCTAGCGTTGTGCTTGTTTTGGCCAACAGAGGGGGCTAGCTGCTAGCTATAGCAGCTTCAGAAGCGAAGCTAAAACCATCAACATAGAGTTATCCAATAGTAATCCAATTAATAAAATCTTTGTGCTCTCTATTCAGAGAAAAGGTCAGTTGGCTCACTCATTGGTCAGGAGTTCTTAACCACACAGTAAACTAACAAAAACTTACTTCAAACAAACTTTGTGCCCGTTTCAAAGGTAGGGAGTCGTCACTTTATCAGTCTGCCCATAGTCTGTTACTGTACAACAGTTACCATGGTGCGGATCAGTGTCGGTCCAGACCTCAAGCATGAGTGAAAATGTATTTCAGATGACTCCCTGTCCTCTATTGTCTGAGCTGCACAGCTCACATCACGTAATATTGTCCATGCCAACATGTGCTGTACTTTGTAGATATCATGCCTCCAAAGAAAGAGACATCGGGAGCTTTTCCACCATCGAGAGCGTCAGTGAACTGACCAGCCAGCAGACACAGTGATTGTGACGGTTGTAGCAGTGGAAGGTGGAGCTGGTTTTAAATGTGAAGTCAAGGGGAAAAGAGGAACTGCAGCACTGAATATAAACATGTTGATGTTGATGCAAAAATATTGTTGGATTTTTCTCTTTTCCATTAACAAGGAACTTCCTAAAGTTCACTTTAAGTCTTTGATCTGTTACTGGGTTCAGTGTTTTCACGACTGTGAAGTTGAAGCTGTAAAATAATGAAGCCACTGCTTTGTGTCATGTCTTCTCTTCAGTGCAGCGCCGTGCTCTGTCTATCTAACCAGGTCATTTACACACTGTGTTTCTACAGGTGTCAGGTGAGACGTCCTCTCTCTCTGTGTGAGCTGTAATCTTTGTTCAGGGAGACATTTGTCCAAAGGGAGGACATATTCTCTGGTCTTCGCTGTGAGCCGGACCTTTAACGGTTCAGACGTGGTGTCAGGATTCAGGTTTGAATCAGGTTTAGTTGCAGTTTAGAAACGTTTCCTCTCGTTATTCTTTCTTTCCTGGAACAAACGTTGATGAAATTTTGTCTACGATCAGTTTCATCATTATTAATTCAGCATTAAAGTAAAACTCTTCTCTGAAGGAAACTTTAAAACATCAGCAGTGAGAGGAAACAGCCAGCAGGTGGCAGCACTACACTACTCTCAGTATGTGAGCAGTGCAGTATGTGTATATACAGTATATATATATACTACATATATATATATATAGTACCACAATGATCACAGTGTTTTGTAGACTACAGCAAAGTGGTTCAGATATAAGATGCAAAATTGCAAAATACATTTTCTTGAAGTTGTCTCTGGTTGTTTGTTTGTGTTTGGTTGTTTGTCTCTGGTTGTTTGTCTCTAGTTGTTTGTCTCTGGTTGTTTGTCTCTGGTTGTTTGTCTCTAGTTGTTTGTCTCTGGTTGTTTGTCTCTGATTGTTTGTCTTTGGTTTTTTGTGTTTGGTTGTTTGTTTGTCTCTGGTTGTTTGTCTCTTGTTGTTTGTCTCTGGTTGTTTGTCTCTGGTTGTTTGTCTCTGGTTGTTTGTCTCTGGTTGTTTGTATCTTGTAACATCAACTGTATGTTAGCGAAACACTCACTAACTTACCAAGTAAGTTCTTGCTTTCAGTTTGTCTGTAAAAGATGACTTCATAGATAAGTACAGTCCAGTGTGGACTGCTCTTATTTTAAATCAGATTTCCACAGATAGGAACACATTGGTGTGTGGTTTGATTCCTGTCTTTCATAAGTGAGATCATCACTGAAAAAGTCCTGGAAAATGATCTGTACTTAACTGAAACTGCTGTAGTGATTTTCATTTACTGATTTTAATCCTGATTTTAATCACGTTCATTTTCTTTTTGTACAGTAATTTTATTTTTTCTCAATTCATACAAACCAGCCCTGGCTATGATATTTATTTATTTATTTATTATATTGTCAGATGGATTAAATCAACTAGATATGTGTAACTAACAATATTCACTCAGTGATCCATAAAATCAAATAACATATAAGACATTATTTTCATTGTTTTTTAATAAGCCATTTTCTTAAATGTGTTGTGGTTTTTTCTTTTCTTTTTTTTTGTCTTATCAACGGCTCAAAACTCAAAAAGCTTTATTTAACTTAAAAATTACATTAACTGTTTAATTATTTTTAGAACAGTTGCCGTTTATTTTCTGCTGCTCAACTAGTTTATAGTATTGATGATGTCCAAACTGGTTAGTACTAACAGATGGTTTTATGTTACCGGCAGGCGGCGACAAAGTAAAAACGAAACGCGCTCAGATAAAAGCCTGATGTCCCATGTTTGATGTCGTAGCAAATAAAATCATATTGGCGCCACATTTTTTTGCCACTTTAGACTTTTTTGGATTTGAAAAACATCATGTTTACAGTTAGTCTAACTATAAACCTGTCTGTGAGTGAGTGAGTCGATCAGTGAACCTGTTGTAAATAACTACGCGCTTCGTCTGGTTCGGTTTGTGTCTCTGCGGCTGCCGTAGAGAGAAGGCGGAAACAGCCGACATGGTGCTGGAGAAGAAAGCTTCGGGTGAGTTTTGTTGAAATTAAACAAATTCTTCATTAAAATGTGACTTTGAAAGTTACAAGTGACGTGTTGGTGAACAGTTAAGGTTTACAGAGCGTAAAGTCTCGTTCACAGGTTCTCTGTCTGTTTTTGAGTCTGTTTTCCCGCCCGTTAGCGGCGGCTCAGAGTCTAACTGACGAAACGTACATTTGAAACGGCTGGGCGGTTTTCTGATCGATACACGTTGTGTAAATGTCACTGTCACTCTTTAATAAATGTTATAGACACAGTAAATTCTGCTCATAGATGTCCCGGAGGAACAATGATTTAAACAAAACCCTGACGTAAGAAGACGGATCGGTTTATTTCAGCGTGATGACGTCAGGGATTGTTGAGTGGTTTTTTTTATGACGTTTTATGAGTCCAACACTCTTCAGTTCAGAACGAGTCACAAACTATTTTACATTCAGTTCCTGATGTCTCTCTCCCTCTCCCTCTGTCTGTCTTTCCCTCCCTCTGTCTGTCCCTCTCTCTCTCCCCCTCTCTCCCTCTGTCCCCCCCCCAGCTCGGGTGGAGGCCGGTCAGCGCAGAGTCCTGGATGAAGCCACCAGACAGAGGAGACTGAGCAGACAGCTGGAGGCTCTGGAGAAAGACAACTTCCAGGTGAGTCAGTGGTGAGACAGGTGACATGAGTCCAGCTCTCTGTACTAACTTTACCTGTTCTTCAGCTTTCGCCCACCTGTCATGGTCTTCAATGAGGGGCGGTGTTGACGTGTTGTTGTTCTGCGTTTCCAGGACGACCCTCTGTCCTCCCTCCCTCCCCCGGGTCCTGCTGCCCGCCTCCCTGCCTTCAGTGAGACAGAGGAACCAGGTGAGACGTGATTGGAGGACGGTGGGGCGTGGGGCGTGGTCGTGTGCCTCGTGTCTGACATGATCTTGTGTGTTTCTGTGTCCAGAGAAGAAGAAGAGGAAGACGAGGGGCGATCACTTCAAACAGCGTTTCAGGAAGAACTTCACCACCCTGCTGGAGGAGGAGGTTGGTCATACCCCCCACTCTCTTCTCGCACTGTCATTGGCTGATCGGCCGTCGGCTGACTCCTCCTCTGTTCTGTGATTGGTAGAACCTGTCGGAGAAGCCCGAGCCTAACTACCTGTCGGCGGCGGCCCCTCCCTCCTCGCTGCCCCCCCGTCACTTCTGCTGCGTCTGCGGTTTCCCCTCTCACTACACCTGCACCACCTGCGGGGGGCGCTACTGCTGCAGCAGGTGTCTGAGCACGCACCGAGAGACCAGGTACGCACACGCTTGTCTTTCTTCACCTGTGAGGACCCTGCTGACCTGAACCTGAACCTCCTCCTGACCTGGACTTTAAGATCCACCACAGAAGAAGAGACGGCCGACAGACGTGTCCGCTGAGATCTGAACACACACCTGAGTGTCTCAGACTGAATGTGTCTGTTGACCAGCAGGTGAACTGAAGCTGTGATCTTATTGGTCGGAGCGTCTCTGTGGAGATGAGCAGCGTCTGTAGAAGGAGGAGTGTAGAGACACCGTGAGGCAGATCCAGTGTCTTTGTTCTGCGTCCTCCTGTCTTCAGTCTTGTTTTGTCCTCTGTGTCTCTGCAGGTGTTTGAAGTGGACGCTGTAACTCCCGCCCCGTCACCACGGCGATGGAGGAGACGGGTCATGTGAGATGATGGAGCTGCGGCTCGGAGAATCACGTTTTACCCGACAACAGCAGCTGCTCTCTGTCAGCCAATCAGGACGAGAGCTGCAGCCGTCAGTGGCCTGACAGAAGGTTTGTTGATGAATCGTTCCCGTCACATTTCAGGTGAAAGACTGAAGCGTTCTCTGGTTCCACATCCTCACATTTGAGGATCTACAGTTTTTCTGTGTCACGTGACAGAAAAGTGAATTTTTGGACTGATGGTCGAACAAAACAAAACGCTGGAGACGTCACTGATCAACAATCAATAAACAGATGAAGCAACGATGACATCATCAGTAGTTGAAGCTGGAATCGGGACAAAGACGGCGAGAGTTGTTTGAACCAATCAGCTGTCTGCTGGGAGCAGGATCAATACTATTGATTAATGGGATCCTCTGACTTCTCCTCCAGCGCCACCTGCAGGTCACATGGGTCCATGGCTCCTGGTCGTGTCATGTGACCCCTCAGCAGTTACACGTCACCATGAGCCGCTTTAGGACGAGTGTCAGATTCCTGCAGCTGCTGCTGCTTCTGTAAATAATGAATATGGTGCTTTAATTCTGTCATTAAAAACACTTTGATATTTAAATCTCATCCTGTCGTCTGGTTGTTCTCATGCTGACGTCACGTCTCTCTTTGTTTTTTTTTTTAAATATCATTGACAAATAGAATTTAATATTTATCATTGTAAGTCCTAGAAATGTGATATTGTCTAGATAGATGCAATAATATAGTAAGTCATAGAAAATATCATGCTGTAGTTAGAAGATCCTCACCAAAGCACCCTGAATGACAGGTAGACCGATGACAGTCATGTTGCTAGGCAACCACCCAAATCCAATGTACGACTTTGTAACTAACATAACAAAATGTCTGCTTTCTAATTTGTGATGTAATTTCCCAGATAGCAAAATATATCCGGCCCATACTTGGGCCACATGCTTGTTTCTTCTGGCCCGAGTCCGGCCCATATCTGTCCTCATCGTATCAGGATGAGCCACTGTACTCAGCTCCAATCAGTAATCTGAACGGTAACCGGCGTGTGGCCCCGCCCACCAGAACGATCCTAAACACAGGATTGGACGCTGCTGTCCAGCTGATTGACAGGTTCGGACAGATGTTTTAAAAGCAGCATGAAGCAGGTGAGAGGCTTCAACAATGATCATGAATGTTTAACGTCTAATCATATGAAATGTGACTGTAATGATTTAATGTGATGCGATGATTTATTGTAGAAGTGTTTGTGACACAACAACTTTCTGCTGCTCGTCCATATCAAAATAAATGAAGAGAATTAAAGTGAATAAAATGACAGTGTTTTTTTCCTCTGCGCTTCAGTTATTAAGGATTTAACCTGAAAGTGGAGCCACAGGTTGGAAACATGGAGGGACACGTTTATCATCAGGCTTCTTCATGCTGACACAAACTGGACCAACAGGTCTGAGAAGAACCAGGAAACTGACTCTTTGTCTTTCCTCAGAACTGATCTGTGGCGTTCTGGACTTCATCCACGAGGACTGAACCTGAACCTCAGTCTTCACTTCACACAGTTGATTTTACTGTGAATGACTTAAAAGGTCTGTTCAGGAATCAGCTGATTTAAGTTCCTCCAGATGTTTTCAACTCTGCAAATCCTCTGCTGTGATTCATATTTAGTTTAACATGGGTTTCATCTCCTCTTACTTCCTGGTTGAGAAATCTGGATCAGGCCTTGAGCCTAATATCAACATGTACTGACAGACTGTGGGATGGATATATATGTAACATGTCTATAATATAATCATACATTCAATAACTTTTTATTTTATATGTATACTATGTTTTTCATATATGGAAATCCAATATATGTTCATACTGTTCTGAGCTGGACGCCATAAATGTTGGATCTTCAGTTATCTATCAATTTATTGGCTATCATACAAAATATTAATATTAAAGATATGAATATAAAATAACTTTAAAATGAATTAAAGTCCTCTGGGGCAACAGCCTAAACTAACAGGCAAAATAGCCAATATTGTTTCAGTCTCAAATTATTACTATTAATGTGGAACTGTGATTAACAATGACATTAATAACTAAGACCAAGTTACCATGTCAACAGTAAGTTAACGTTGAAGGACTGGAGTTCTGCTGAGTAGACGTTGGCAATATTCACACCTGTGAGACATTAAACACACCAAAGTAAAGTGGAAAGTGTGGGAGTGGACCATTACCTGGCTGCATGGATGATAGACCAGCTCACCAACAGACCACAGTACGTGAGGCTTCGTCACAGTGTGTCTGATGTGGTGCTCTGCAGTACAGGTGCCCCCCAGGGTACGGTGCTCTCCCCTTTTCTCTCCACCCTGTACACCTCGGACTTCACACACAACACCACACACTGCCACGTCCAGAAGTTCTCTGACGACACAGCCATTGTTGGGTGTGTTTCTGAGGGGAATGAACTGGAATACAGGACAGTCATCAGGGACTTTGTCAGCTGGTGCAAGATCAACCAGCTTCAGCTTAACGCCAGCAAAACAAAGGAGATGATTGTGAACCCCAGGCGGAAGACGTCCCACTTCACACCAGTGAACATCCAGGGACTGGACATCGAGGTGGTGGAGAACTACAAGTTCCTGGGGGTTCACCTCAACAACAAACTGGACTGGTCCACCAACACCCACGCTCTCTACAAGAAGGGCCAGAGTCGCCTTCACCTGCTGAGCAGACTGAGGTCCTTTGGTGTGTGTGGGGCTCTCCTCAGGACCCTCTACGACTCTGTGGTGGCCTCAGCCGTCTACTTCACTGTGGTCTGCTGGAGAGGGGGCAGCACTGACAGGGATAGGCAGAGGCTCAACACACTGATCCGGAAAGCGAGCTCTGTCCTGGGCTGCCCCCTAGACTCCATTGAGGAAGTAGGTGAGAGGAGGATGTTAGCTAAGCTGACATCCATCATGAACAACAGCTCTCACCCTCTGCATGACACTGTAGGGTCTCTGAGCAGCTTCTTCAGCAGCAGACTTTTACATCCTCGCTGTAAGAAGGAGAGGTTCCACAGCTCCTTCATTCCAGCAGCTGTCAGACTCTACAACTCCTGCTCTTCCTGACCATGTGCAAACTTGCACTTTCATGTACATAACGTGTGTATTGTGTATATTGTATTTATTGGTGTATATTGGTGTATTTTTGATGTATATTTCCATAGATGTTTATTTTCTGCTGTGGTGAGTGAATTTCCCAGTTGTGGGATTAATAAAGTTAATCTAATCTAATCTAAATCTAACCAGTAGTTATACTTAAAGACATTTATTTACAGTGGAACAGAGTAAAAACACAAAGTCTATCTAGTATGTACAGGTTCCCCAGGTGAGACCAGTGAGGGATTGTGGGGAGCTGAGTTCTTCTGTCTGTGGAACAAAGAACAACAGAACATCAGTGAATGGAAAGTCTTTGGTTCTAGAAAACAGAGAGAAGTGAAACTTATTTCTTTACAAGTGTTTCTCTAACAGGTGTTCCATGTTACACCTTAGCAACAGTAACTAAGGGGGAGGAGCGTCGCGAGCTCAGGCTCGAACGAGTTTCCAGTGACCGCGAGACGCGGCGAGATCGAGAGTTAAAGTGGCGCCAACAGACAGAGTCCAGCACAAAGAGACCAGAGAGACCTGGACCAGGACAAGACCGAGATGAAGGAGGAGAACCAGCACCCGGATTTCATCGGCCAGACCCGGATAAAGGAGGAGAACCAGGACCCAGATTTCGTCGATCAGACCCGGATAAAGGAGGAGAACCAGGACCCGGATTTCATCGGCCAGACCGGGATAAAGGAGGAGAACCAGGACCCGGATTTCGTCGATCAGACCCGGATAAAGGAGGAGAACCGGGACCCGGATTTCATCGACCAGACCGGGATAAAGGAGGAGAACCGGGACCCGGATTTCATCGACCAGACCGGGATAAAGGAGGAGAACCAGGACCCGGATTTCGTCGGCCAGACCCGGATAAAGGAGGAGAACCAGGACCCGGACTGGAGCCTGGAGGCCGCTGGTCCTGCCGGTCTACAGGTCAGTGTTCAGGACTCGATGGAGGGTCCGTGTTTGATCCGTTGGTTTTTGTGGCATCAGAAATACAAAGTGTTTGTGTTGGTCTGTTTTCCCGGGCTCATGTTGAAACGAGTCACGTGACCAACAGAGTGAATCTCAGGTGAAGTGAGTGACGAGTTTGAACGTGGTTTCCGTGACAACAGTCTGGTCTCAGTGTGTCGGTACAGGTTGTTGTCGTGATGTTGGTGAATATCAGCTGATCCGGTCAGAGCCAATCACAGCTGAGCTGATACTGATCAACATCTGTCCCTCAGCGCCATGTTAGTTCAATAAACAACAACATCTATGATCTGTTTGTTTATTTCTCTACCACAACACCAACAGTTCCTGGACTGTTGCTAAGCAACACCAACACGTTCCTGAGCTTTACAGCGACACCAGCTGCTGCTCTGTCTCCACGTTAGCTCAGGTGTTTCTGAAGGATCCACCTTCTTCCTTCATCCTCTCCTGACGACATCGTTTCATTCAAACCTTCTTTCTGAAATATTTTCATCTTTGTTTGTTTCAATCTGAGATCGATAACGACGTTAATTTGACGCTGATTAACGGTTGATAGAACATCTGTGAAGAGGAGTGATCCATGACTCTGACTCCGTCCAATCACATCACTGGATCAGAACTAACGGTTGTTTGTTGTTGACATTCCTTTAGTCTGAGGATGTTATGAAATTGATGCAGTACAAATCTAGTTTTATACAACTCACTCACATGAGATGTGATTCTCTGTCTCTGTCTGTCTCTATAGAAACAGAGACGCACTAAAGAGAAGCTGCACAGCTGTGACCGCTGTGGGAAGACGTTTACGACTTCAACGAATTTAAAAATCCACCAACATATTCACACCGGAGAGAAACCGTACAGCTGTGAGCAGTGTGGCAAAGCTTTTACAACGACAAGTAGTCTACAAATCCACCAACGTATTCACACCGGAGAGAAACCGCACACCTGTGAGCAGTGTGGCAAAGCTTTTTCTCGGGCGTATCGCTTAAAAAGACATCAACATATCCACACCGGAGAGAGACCGTACAGCTGTGAGCAGTGTGGGAAATCCTTCATTGAACTATGTTATCTAAAAGAGCATCAGGTGCTTCACTCTGAGGAGAAATACAGCTGTGATCAGTGCGGAGCGACGTTCAACTCGCCACGTTACCTGAAAATCCACCAGCGCTTTCACGCTGGACAGAAACAGTTGTACAGTTGTGACCAATGTGGGAAAGCTTTTACACTGGTAAGTAGCTTAACAGTTCACAGACGTGTTCACACCGGAGAGAAACCATATGTCTGTGACCAGTGTGGCGCACTCTTCTCCCGGGCAGGGAGTCTGAGACACCACCGCCGCCTTCACACCAGAGGGAAATCACACCACTGTGATCAGTGTGGCAAAACTTTCATCAGCGCCAGTAAACTGGAACTTCACCAACATGTCCACACCAGTTAGAAAGACTCGGGGCGATGCTGGCGTGATGCTGGCGCTGGACCTCCTCCAGAGAAAGACTGTGACGTGGGGGGGCAGCTCTTCATGAAGTGGTTCTGTTCATGTGACCTACAATAAAGATGGTGGATGGTGAAGGAGGCGCCTGGTGCTGCCCACCTGTCTGCGAACAGGTCGTCAAATCAAGATCTCTGTTAAACCAGGTGTCTCTTTATCCCGGCAGAGACGTCTCCTTCACTACACGACAGATTAAAGGTGTTAGAGAGACCGTGCATTTGTTTCATGACCTGCTGGCTGTTAATGCAGCAGTAGAGGCCGGATACCTGCAGGTTCCACACACATCTACCCTGTTATCAGGTATTCCATCTGACACTAAATATTACACCGTAATTGATTTATGCTCAGCATTCTTTTCTGTAGAGCTGCACTCTGACTCAAGACACGTGTTTGCCTTTATCTTTGATAACGTACGACGGCAGTACACGCTTTACCACGAGGAGACTGTGAATCTACATGTGTCTTTCATTGTCTGCTAGCAGCGCAGTTGTCTCAGCTGCATGTTGCATCCAGTGTGCTGCAGGATGTAGATTTGACCTGTTCTCCAGAGAAGCAGACCTGTCTGGATGATTCACTCACCGTCCTGCAGTGTTTGGCCAAAAATGTCCATCAGGTTAGTAAAAGTAACTGAGCTTGGGGGTGGGGGGGATTTCATCTCTGGTAACAGCTGATGTGTGTTGGTGT